CACTTGTTTTTGATATAATTATATAAATATACAGTATATTAGTTATCAAATTGAATAATTACTAAATGTTTTTCTAACGATATATTCATTGTCTCATTGTATAGAATCTCTAAAAAAGTATTTGTTTCATCGGAATTTGAGCACATTTTTCGAGATTGAGATCCAATTTGTGGTCAAAATTTTCAATTTATATTTATGTTATGTTTTCAAAATTCAAAACTCTGTTAAAAATAGTAATTATATTCTAGTATTACAAATGAATAGAATATTCTTGAATTCATATCAGATTTTGAAAACAAATTTCCCTTTCAATAGTTAATAACAATTTATTGTAAATATATTTAAGAAATTTAAGAAATTGTTTATTAAATTTTGAACAAAACTGACGGGTTTTTGAATTTGAAGTCATTTTATGACACATTCTCTAAATTAAAATCAAATTATTGACAAATACTCTCGAAAAATAGGCTCTAATTGTTTCAAATGTAATTGTTTTGAACTTTTATTCAATTTTCCAATAAAATTATTTAAAAACTGTTAATCATTTGTTTTTATTTATAATATAATATAAATCAATTAATAAATGGTAAATAAATACGAAAAAGTGAGTTAAATCTAATTGATTTTTATTAAAATTTGTGGTAAAAATATAGTTATTAATAATACTTTGAAAAATATGAATAAAATATAGTAATTATATAACTCTTTATATAAATAGTAGTAATTACGGTAATAAAAGATAAAATTTTTACATAAATTTACGGTAAAATAAATTATTACATTTGCTTTGAATCAAAGGCACGATTAGCTCACAAACGGTTAAACATTAGTAATTATATGATAATAAACTGTAAGTAATAAATAAGTATTTCTTAAATAAAGCAATCATTAAAAATACATAACTTTTCAATTAATTTATGACAATTTGGTTGAAACTCTAATTTCCTTGGAGTGCAAACCAATCGCACGTCTCGTTCTTGAGGTCCAACGTGTTTAACATAATATGCGTTCCGCCGATCAACACGTTTTCGGTCACTCTATCGTAATCCCAGACCGAAACCTATTGACAGACAGTATGTGAATAGATGTGACAAAAGACCATAAATGGCAACAAACCTGAAGAGTCTTTTGTTGCAGTTTTTCGAGTGGTATTCCGTGATATAAAATCATTTCCATAAAAGTCGGATGACATGTCTTATTGACGACACGCGTCTTGCGTTTTGTCAACTTATTTGGATCGGGATTCAGATATGTCTTGACATAACAGTCGGGAGCGTTGGAGCGACTCGACACCAGATTCTTGGCGTGCATTATCATTATGACTAAAGACATGTTCT